TCGAGTCCTTTAGCAGCGCGTGCGCACACACACACACACACACACACACACACACACAGTGTACTCAAAGACTGAAATACAACGAATAATTTTTGCTCCTTTATCAAGGACATTCTTAAGTGAAAACGGCATTTTAAAAAAATTGTGAGTGTGCAACAGTGAAGCATCCAGTGGCTACTAGCACAGTTCAGCGTCACTGCCTTGAACAACAGCTCCTCATTGTCACTTTGCAATAACAAACAGCATCTCATACTGTTACGAAAATGCTTTGTAAACCACTGCTCTAGGCAAGAGGGAGCTACAGCACAACAAACTGCTGGCTGGGGGACAGCAAGGCTGCAACAGATTGAGGGAGGGCAAGGAAGACCTACCCCTGAGCAGGGGCAGTACGAAGGAAGAGAAAGGCAAAGTCTGCTACAGGTGGAGGGAGAAGGCTACAGAGGGAGAATTCATTTTTGCTGGGTCAATGACTGGAGATGGAGGAGGAGCCAAAGGTTACACCCTCCTTCCAGGAACGGACAGTGTCTAATTCTACTCTATCTCCAATGCCTAGAATGAAGCCAGGCAGAGGCTTTTTAAAGCCAGGCATAGTGGTGCATGCTTATAATCCTAGCATTTGGGAAGCTGAGGCAGGAGGACCGCTGGAGTTCAAGGCCAGCCTGGACTACAAAGTGAGGCCATGTCTCAAAAAATATATATATGCTTTTCAACCAAAATCAGGTGGCGTAAGAATAGTGCCATCTGAGAAGGGAAGATCTCAGGAGGGGGAGCTGGGTAGGGGTGAGCAGCAAGGGAAGATGCCACCAGGAAGCTGCAGATGTAAGCAATGCCACATCGCAGCCAGGGACTGTGAAACTCACAGACAAGGCTCAAATCATCTCACCCAGCCGAACGTATGAATGATTTATAATCAGCCAGGCATGACAAAAGCTCAGATTAATGTGGAACAGAGAATACTTCAAAATTTCATTACATATGTCATATCTAAGTTAAAGAGAAATCAGAAGAGATACATCCCAAATTATTAACAATGGTTCCTCGGGGAGAATGAGATTGGGTTTCTGCAAGAATTTCCTTTTTTTTTTTTTCTTTTTCTCTTTTTTTTTTTGGTACTGGGGATTGAACTCGGGTCCTTGTGCTTGTGAAGCAGGCAGCGGAACCACTGAGCTAAATCCCCGGCCCTACAAGAACTTATTTCTTGCTTGCTTTTTTTTTGGTACTGGGGACTGAACTGGGGCCTTTCCTCTAAGCTATATCTGCAGCCCTTTTTATTTTGCAATAGGGTCTCTCAGGCTGGGCTCAAACTTGATTCTCCTGCCTCAGGCTCCATGAATGCTGGGGATTACAGGTGTATACCACCACGCCTGACTTGAATTTCACTTTATTATACTTCTGTTGTATTTGATTTTATTATGTACAGTTGTTTTACTTTTGTAATCAAAAGTAAGTAAATATGTATTACATAGTGCCTATTTCCTTATGTCCCACGACCATTTTTCTCTGGAAGAAACATGCCTCCTCCTGATGAGGGAGGTGTGTTAGGCACACCAGGCTGTTCGGCCAAGTTCAGCTGCCCAACTAAATACTGAAAACCACTGACAACTTAGGTTACTGCAGTTTCAGCCCCTTCTCTGGAAAAAACACCTAATTTCAATTTGAAGTAACCTAAAAGGATAAATGAAATGTACACCCGATCTTACCTATCAGTTTTCCCAACTCTTGAGTACCGATTTTCTAAGAACTTGAAATTGCAAAGGAAATAATGCTGCTGTCAGGGGTTGGTGTCTTCCAGCCACAGGAAGTGTTTCTCTGGCCTCTGCACTCAGCCGCTGTTCTTCATTTCTCCATCTGCTTCTGCTTCATCTTATTTGGCATAAAAACCTTCAAGAAGCAGAAGTAGAAAGGACATCAAAACGCTGACTTCTCTAAGAGGACCAGAGAAGACAGAGAGAGCTTGCTGGTGTCCCTAGCCCTGAGTTATACCGGGAAGTAGATAAGCACATGGGAGCCATAGAGGTCCCGTGGCTTTAAAATCAGATGGGTCAGTACTGTGGACCCTTGCCTTACAAACTCAATTCCTTCTTGAGGGGCAGCAGAACTCAAGTTGGTCAACTGAAGGCTCAGGCTCCTCTGAGACTTCAAACGCTCTCTCCTGTTTACAGGCATCAGAGACACTGGCCCAGGATTTCTCAATGAACCCCACACAGGAAAGGATGCTGTAATGCTCCTTCCAGAGCTTTTTAAGGGTTAAACCTGTATCTGAGACCATCTGGAAGCACAAGTGGCTGGCATTTGGGTCGGAACTCAAGACAGTCATAAGTTAAAACTAAAATTCTGGTCATAACCCAAGTTGTTTGTATGTCAGGCTGGTTGTAACTCAAAGGTCCACTGTACCTGCAAATGCTGACACTAAGCACTGAAGATATAATGAGGACCTAAGTAAGATTTTTCAGATTCTGTTTCTATTATGGAGTTTCAGACCCAAAAAGATCTAACAGTGTTAGGGTGACAGAGAAGGACCCTTTTGTCAACTCTGAGTCTCATGCAAAAGGTACAGGCTGACACTTCTCTGCTGCCCACTTTTTAGAGATGAATAGGCTCTGTTCCATGTCCCAGTGGCCAGGCCCAAGCCTCACAGGCAAGAGGTCACAGTACTAAAAGATAAAGCAGATGCTGAAAGCAGCAGGAGGCACAAGTGAGAAGTCTTGTGTCAAATGCATAAATATTACCAATTTCAAATGTGATGCCTTCATTTTTTTTTAATGTCCACCGCTATTTTTTTTTTTTTTTTTGGTATCAGGGATCGTGTCCACTGCTATTTTTAATCCTGTGGCTATAGGCATCACATGCCAAGCTGCTTTGTCAACGTCTTCTCTATCAAATAAATATGTACTTCCTCTTTTCCCAGGAGAAAAGCTCCAAAGATGCAGCTTAAATCTGAATTCTGGGCCTTTGTGCCAAAATTTCTAAAAGGGCTGTCTAACTGGAAGTTGGGTGTATTTCAGCATTACCTCAAACCACATGTCTCAAAGTGGACTTGTCCCAAACTCCCACCCACGGCTTCCTTACTCTTGATTTCTTCTCTATCAGATTACATCATCCTGCCAGTCACCCAGCCACAGGGCCTTTAAATTATTGCCAATATATCTTTCTCCTCCAACTACATAAGCTCCTGATGCTTACACTGTCAGGCTTTCCTGTAACCTTGTATACAGTTCCTTGAAAAATAATTCCTATTCATTCCTCAAGGCCCATCACAAATTATCAAGAGCAATCCTGCAAATTCCAGAAGCAGTCTTGACTTTCTACTTCATCCTGGATCTCGTCAAGCCTGCAGTACTCCTTTGTAACACAGAGCAGGCTACACACATGCACGTGGCCCTCCTACCAGGCCATAACCTCCTCAAAGACAGGGACTTACCTTCTTCATCTCTGTAGTTCTGGCAACTAACACAGTATCTGGTACCATAAAAGGGCCCTAGTGAAGCTGAATGAGTTATTTCACCCACAAGGCATCTGTCAGTGACTATAGAACAGGGGACAGTCTTGTTTACTGTACCTTTCATTCCCAGACAAATCTCTGAGGCCCGATGAGACTGTTTCCAAGGCCCAAGGAAACTTGACCCTTCTTTTTACTGCCACCATGGCACTGCTAGGGACAACTATAACACCTTTGGATTCTTGACCTTTAGTCTTGCCACAGGTTTAAGCCCCATTTGGTCTTTCTTTCTTGCCTATACTAGGAATTGACAATTTTTTTCCTACGAAGGGCCAGATAATATTTTATGCTTTGAGTGTTACACAGCCTTTGCTCAAGGAAAGCAGCCATACATAGATGGTACATGAAGGACAGTTTGCATATGTCAATAAATATATTTTTATATATAGTGAAGTTTGAATTTTAATTATGCTTTTTTAATTAAAACATTTTTGTTTGTTTGTTTGTTTTTTAAGACAGGGTCTCACTACGTAGTTGAGACTGATCTGGAACTCACTATGTAGCCCAGGCTGGTCTTGAACTCACAGTGATCCTCTTGCCTCAGCCTCCCGAGTGCTGGGATTACAGGCATGCGCCGCCACGCGTGGCATTAATTAAAACATTTTAATAGCACATATTTGCAGTACATAATGATTACATTCTTTGTAGGGAGGTGGTACATAACATAACACATCTTAATTCTTTTTAGTTCCCTTTTACCTCCCCTTTCTCCCTTCCTTATATATTTTTCATGTATCACAAAATGTTAATCCGTTGATTTTTCTCCCAACTGTTTAAAAATGTAAAAAGCGTCCTTAGCCTTTGGACTACACAAGAACAGGCAGCAGACTAGATAGGGCCTTTGAGCCATAGTTTGCCAACAACTGGTCTATAGCAAAAATTAAAAACTCAGAATTCTCTTATGTACTTTGTATTATTCTGCTATTTGAGGCCAATGTAGGGCTAAGTAAGTAGAAAGCCCATGGATTTTTGGGGCTGGGGATTTAGCTCAGTGGTTCCACCACCTACCTTGCAAGAGCAATGACCTGAGTTTAATCACAGGTACCAAATTAAAAAAAAAAAAAAAAAAAAGAAAGCACATGGATTTTTTTTGCTTGCAAGGCAGGCAGCGAAACCACTGAGCTAAATCCACTGAGCCAAATCCCTGGCCCAAAAGCACATGGATTTTTAAACATTAGGTCTTCAACTCAGATTCTGGCCCTAACATTTATTAACAAAGTAGTCTTAGATGCGACATTTAACCTCCCCAGGCTTATTATCTACAAAACTGGGGGCAAAAACACTGGATGTGACAATTAAACAAGCTAGTGTTTATTGAGCTCAAGACACCAATGCCTGGTACTTAGTAAATAGTAACTATGATTCTACCTTGTGACCAGGCTTCCCAATGAATTGTGGCTCTGTAACACAGCCACTCTGTAAATCACACCTGGGCAGTGAGAAGAAACAGAAGGCAAACATGGAGGCAGAGAGACAGGACTTGATGGTTTTCAGATTCTCAGGGCCCAGTTAGCCCTGGCTCCTCTGCCACCATTCCTAATTCCTTTGGGCCAATTTTCCTTCTCAGCAAGAACTTTTGAATTACATAGTGCTAAAACCTTCTTGACATTCCTCACCAAATACCCAGAGCCCTGGAACCCTTTTCTCATCCTCCTTATTTAGTACTGGAATAGGAGAAGAGGATCATGGTCAGATCAAACCTACACAGACTGGCCTGAAGCTGGGTGTTAAATATGCTGGGCCTTGCAAGGCACCCAGTTCTCTCCCAATTCTTCACGAACTTCCTGAAGTACTGGGAATGAAATTTCTCTGAAGGCTCAAGAACTAAACTTGCTATAGAAGTTTCAGAGCAAAAAACTCTGAAAAACAAGGGATCTATCACACTACCTTCAAGATGGACAACATCAGAGGAGCACTGAAAAGACTATGGCTTACAATATTTCGTCTGTGGTCCAAAGAGCCAGACCTGCGCCTGTCATCTCCTCACTCCGAAATTTCTAATGGTTGCTACTGCCTCTGGAAAAACCAAGCTCCTGCGTGGTCATGTAGGGTCTCCCCAGTGTATCCCAGCCCAGCTTTCCTGATTTCTGGTCCCTTCCAGCTGCAGGAGCTGCTTCTACCTGGTAGCCCTAAACAGTTTCCAGCTTCTCATAGGTGTGCATAACTCAAAGACACTGTGACATTTTCTTACATGTCTCATCTTAGACAGAGCTAGGGATGGGGCAAATTCTATGTCTGAGTCAGCTCTGACTCTTCTACACCTAGTAAGGGGCCTCGCTTGGAAGGAAATGCTTCCTAAGTGTTAATGAATGAATGAATTCTCTTAACGTTACTCTGCCCTTAAACTGTTTTGGTTGTACCTTTATAAGCAGACTAAACACAGTCCTGGTCACTGCCAGGAAGCAGAAAAACCGAAGAGAAAGAAAAGAAGCATAACCAATGTGATCCAAGCAATGGAAAACAGGTTTTATGGGAGAGGAGAAAGCAGCCTGGGCTGTTTAGCCTGGAAAAGATGAGGTCTAACTGGATTCTGGGTTTAAGTACAGAAAAGGTTCCCATGAGAAAATCTTGATCTCATCCTCCTTTTATTATCAGAAGAAACTTTTCCATATTCATGGAAAATAAAACAATAAGAACTAGCTTAAGTTAAAGCCAGAAGAGTTTAACCTGGAGAGAAAGAAGAACCAAATTAGGTACCACTTTTCCAGAGGTTTTTAACTATTGTTCTTTTTGGCAATCTGAAGGGGTCCTGTTTAGTACTTTTGCCAAAGGCTGTACAAGAGTAAATGAATATGCTGTCCTGGTGTTGATTACTGCATAAAGGGGTAGAGGAAAGCACCGTCAAGTGAGATACTCTAACAAGCCACTGACTTTTTATCAACCTTTTTCCTGCAGGCACTTTTTGTCATGTCAGGATCTGTAACCGTAAGATGGACTAATCTTGTATTTCCAAGTTTCCTGCTAGTGCAATGGAAAGAGAGAAGATAACAATGCCAGAGTGAGCCGGGTGTGGTGGCGCATGGCTGAATCCCAGCACTCACCAGGTTTAGGTGGGCTAATTACTGTGAATTTGAGGCCAGCCAGAGCTACATAGCAAGACCCTGTCTCAAAAACAAAACAATAACAATAATGCCAGTAAGACATTGTCCTAATAAATGTACTTTCTATAAAAATACTACCAAACTAAAAAAACCAAAAAAACAAAAAACTACCAAACTGGGCATTAATAGAATGGCCAGTTTTATTACTAAAGCTAACATCCATTGAACACCTACTACACGCCAGGTACTGTGTTGGTTAACAGGTTATCTCAGTTCTCTTAGTAACCCCATAAGGTAGGTGGTAATGCTTTACAGATGAAGAAACCAAGGCTAAATAAAGTTAAATAACTTGCCTGATTCATACAGCTAGCCAGTGACAGTGACAGAGGCAGGATTCTTTCTCTTTCTTCCTTCCTTCCTTCTTCCTTTCCTTTCCCTCTCTCTCTCGCTCTCTCTCTCTCTTTTCCTGAATATCAGGGATTGAACTCAGGACATTGCACTTGCAAGGCAGGGATGGTGCCACTGAGCTAAATCCGTGGCCTAACCCTGGTCTTTCTGAATCATACTCTGGGCCACTCCTTTAGCCTGCCCCAAGTCTGGAAGAGAAAAGCATGACATTAGCAAGAAACAAGTCCTCAGAAGTGAAATCAACCCCCCCCCCGCCCCCACGCTGGAGAAGAAAGCTGAGACCGAGGACTCACAGATGAAGGAGAGAAGACCAAGCCTTGGATGCCAGCCTCCTGTCTCGCCTGTAGTGCTCCTTCCTCCATTACAGATTCTTGATGAATCTGATGCAACAGGATGTATCATATGGGGTGTCTCCCTAGAAGGCACTTCTACAGTGAACTGCCAATCACACATCAGAACTTGTGCCTGAGATACAAGGGAGCCTGCAGCTTTTGGAAACACATCCCATGATTCCACTAGTTAAAGGTGGCAGTGTGCTGACGGATGGCCCTGCACGGGGTGCCAAGATGCTCACATGTTCACCTGGTAGAGCAGATCTGGACTGGGCAGCTTCCACACTGGGTGAGCAGTTCATAGTTTTAAGCCTCCTCACTGATGTCCCCACCCTGGGAGCACCTCAGCTCCACTCAGTCTTCGTCTTCTCAGCCACAGAAAAGGGCCATGAGCTCTGCAGCACCGTGGAGAGATCATGAGCTTTCTGTGCCCCTTGCTGGCTACCTGACCTTTTTGAGAAGTCACTTGAATTTTTCTGAAGTCTGGTTTCTTCATTTTAAATTGAGGATAAATGTCCCTATATTACAGGGATTAGGAGGATTAAATAAATTATAGGGTATAAAGCATGTTGCAAGCCACAAAGGAAAGCAGACACTTGACAAATAATATTAACGTTCTCCCCATCTCTGCATTATGTCTACAATCTACTCTGCCAGTGTATTTCCCCTCCTCACGAGCCCCCCATCCCTCACCATCTCTCTCTCACACACACACATGTGCATGCACACACATACACACTCATACACCATGTATTTTTCCTTCTAGACCACTACTTAAACTGCTCGCCCTCCCAGAGATGAACTCCTTCAAAGCCCAGCATAAATTCCCCACCATGAAGAATCTTCTGGTCATGTTGGGATTGATTTTTCCTTCTCCCAAACTCCCACTTTGTTTATATTCCTTGCTACTTTTACCATAGTTAGTCTGATTTCAGTTATTTATGTACTTATCTATCTTCCCAGCTACCCAGCGACACTGGAGGCTAAAGGCTTGAGAAAGACCATTACTTACAGAAGGGCAGGAAATGTGTTGTCCTCTGTGTAAATTTCTCAATACCAGGGGCTTGTACACAGCAAGTTTAATATGTACTAACTGAATTGAATCCTTCCCTCCTAGCCTGGGTATCATTATAGAAAGATCCAGAACTATTTTTTTTCTAAGACTATGTATTTAGTGCCTGACTTAATAGAGAAGCAATTTTTGAAGTATATCCATATTCCTAAACTAGGATCCACCAATGCTCAGGTACACTTGCTTCATTCCTTCCTCCATTCTGCCAACATGCCCTGGACTCCTCTTGGGACATTACTCCAGCACACAGGGAGACACTGCTAGGACGATGTCGTTCAGTCATAAAGGAAGGAGGATCTGGGAGCAAACTCTGTGGAGAACTGTCCCACCCTACTGGGTAGGAGGTGACTGCAATTAAAACCATGCTAAAAACCAGAGCTGTAAGATCAGAAAACAGGTCTACATGATTTCTATCTGCCTCGGTTTCTAAGTATAGAATTGTTTAAATTGATTTAAAAAAGTATCCATCACAACAAATATTAGTTATTGTATTAACAATGTAGAGCCAGGCATGGTGGCATATGTCGTAGCTACTCAGGAGGCTGAGGCAGGAGAATTTCTTGAACGCTGGGGAGGCCTGCTGGGCAACACAGAACTCTGTCTCAAAAATTTAAGTAAATAATTTAAAAAAGTAACAGATTGGAAAAACAGTCAGGAGGCTACACTTCCAGAACTATCTCTACCACTGCCGGATTCCTTGTATAACCTCAAGTAAGTCCATTCCCTTCTGAGTCTTTCCCCATCTGTAAAATGAAAGTGACAGAACCAGATGGCTCCCAAGCTTCTGAAACCTTCAACAATATATATTTTTATGATCAACAGAGAACTTTCTGTTCCATATGCTGAGGCTGTTGGCTAGGAAAAATATGAATTTGGAGCTGCTGGTCCTCATATGGGAAAGACAATTGTTTACCCATGCCAAGGGCAGAACAACTGATTAGTCAGCCACCTGTGAGCTTTCCCCTATGTGACCTGTACCACAGACTGGCAGATCCCTGAACAGAGCACCAGTGACTTCCCAACAAAGCTCACAACAAAGGCAAGACACTGGCTGAAAGAAAGAGCGGCAATGTGGATCCTGGCTCAAGCAGAATTCTGACACTTTCTGATGTCTGTGATTAGGGCACCACCAATATAAACTATCGCCTTTCTAGCCACAAAGAAAAGGAAAAACACAAAGTTCCACTCTGAACCAGACAGCTCAAAAAATCAAATCAAGGGCATAAAAAAAAATCACTGATTGATTTAATCATGAAGACTGTAGCGACCTACTATGTGTCAGCCTTGTATTAGGCAAAGGAGCAATGAGACATTGTCCCTTGCCACAAATGTATTCAAGAGCAGGGGTAGTACTTCCCCAGGCAGACGGTGATAAGAGCTCTAGCAGAGGTTCAGCTTGTGATGCAGAAGATTCGATGGGGAGGAAATGATCCAGCAGGAGGACAAGAGCTCCCTAAGTAGGGCATATGAAACATGAGGCTCGAAAGATAAAAGGAAATACAAGCAGCAATGCAGAGATTGTTTCAGGAACACAGATTAGTATATTTTGATGGAGGCACAGGGTGCAGGTTTGGAAAAACAAAGGGAACAGGGCAGAAAAGACATTTTGGGAAGAGAGATTATGGAGCGAATTCTTCAGCAACCACTGAAGTCTGCAAAAGTTTCTGAGCAGGGCTGGAGATTTAGCTCAGTGGTTCTGCCACCTTTGACATAAGCGCAAGGACACGAGTTTAATCCCTGGTACGCAACCCCCCCCAAAAAAAGTTTCTGAGCAGAGATACAGCACATCATGATCAGAATAGTGTCTTACAAAGATCACATGGCACTCATGAAGAGGATGAAAAAGGAAATACATTACTGAATTACTGTGGGGCCACCTAATAGGAGACCATGCACTTCCCAAATACACACGTGCAGCATTCTGCTAGCTCTTGTTCACAGAGCTTCTCTCTCCTCTGTTTTAGTCTCATGAGATCTGAATCGCCACGCCCTTTAACTGTCAAGATCTGCTAACTGCTAGGGTAACAGGACTCCCAGGCGAAGTCAAGAGTCCCACCAACTCTGGATTACAGAAGAGTTGAGGTGGGAGCAGATGGGTGGGGGGGGTACCAAAGTCTCCAGCTGGCTCAGTTCCATAAAAACCCAACAGTGGGTCTCCTCTTCACATGGCTCCCAGTCTAGCCTTCTTTAGAGTGGCTAAAGCTAAGGACAGTTGGCTGAAAGCACCTGTCTGATTGCTAGGGATCCATGGGAACCCTATACACCAACTGCCCAGCAGGTGCTTGCCTGGACATGGGCAGTGGTCAGTAAGGTCTAGTCTTCTCATCCAGCAAGGTCAATTCTACCTGTGAAGCCTATTGAGGTTTCAAGGCCCGGATCAGATGAGCTCTTCCCTCAGGGCCTCTCTAAAGTATCCCAGACCAAAATGACCTAGTTTCTTGAAGTCACAGAAATTATGTGCCTACTGCATGACAGGTGAGCAGCTGAGTTAGACATAATCCTATTTATCCTTCACAATGATCCTATTATCCCATTTTATAGAGATCCTCAGGTCTGCCTGACCTTAAAGTCAAGCACTTTCAGCAACACTCATTCCTGTCACCCATGCTGGTCCCTTACTTCCACTGCCAGTCCTACAGGAAGCCTAAAGTTCTTTAAGGGGAGAGACTACATCTGAAACTACTACCTCTCATTACTGGACAACCACCAGCACATGGCAGGAGCTTCTAAGTACTGTATTGTTAAATAAATGAAAACAAGTAACTTTAAAACAATACAGTACACACATTTCATAAATTCTCTATGTGTGCCGGGCATGGTGGTGCACACCTATAATCCCAGCACTTGGGAGGCTGAGGCAGGAGGATCACTGAGTTCGAGGCCAGCCTGGGCCACATTGTGAGGTGAAGACTAGCCTGAACTGCAGAGCGAGGCCCTGTCAAAAATAAAATAAATAAATAATTTTTAAAAATCCTTTCTGCTCGTGAAAAACTCCCTGAAGTTGGACTACTGAGCCTTGAGTCCTGCCACAGCCTTGCCCTGACCTCTAGTTAGGACTGAGGCTCAAACCAGTCACAGGCTGAGCTCCAACCTCAGACACTGGCTGAGCTCTGTCTCGTCACAATCTAAATCCCGGCACACTCCAGACACAGGCTGAGCCCCGGGTGGGACGCACACTGAGCTCTGATCTCGGTGCAGACGGGGCCCTGACCGGTCACAGTGGAGCCCTGAGGACAATCCTAAAAGAGGGCTCCCTTCGCTGTCCCTCCGCAGCAGGACCGGGTCGTGACCTCGAGCCACTCTGAAGGCTCTGAATGCCCCCTCTCGGGCTCACAGACTCTCTCCAGACCCCCACCCCGTCCTGCTCCGAGCGACTCGGAGGTGTCTGGTTTTTACCTTGGCTGAGCACGGCGGGAGAGGTCGCGCGCACCCCTACCTGTAGGTCTCTGTTTTAACGAGGGAGGGGCAGGGCTAGCTAGACTCGAGGGCGGGCCTGAGCGGATAGGGGCGTGAGAGGGCGGGGTGGCGCCTGCGCCTTGGTGGCCACAGGGGAGGGGAGGGCGAGCGGATTAAACTGCGCAGGCGTGCTAGGAGAGGGCGGGGAGACTGCTGGCTGTGGGGTGGGCCTAGCTCCACACTGTTTTCTGAGTGGTGGTGGCGTCGGAAGCTAATTTGCCCGGCCCTGGCAGATGTAATCAGCGTTTACTGAGCGCTTCAGCAAGCCTGGAAGGAATTTTAAAATGTCATTTGAATATGTGAAAATGCTTCTAGGCATTTTAAAAACGGGCTAATTCTGTAAAATGTCTTTAAAGGTCTGAATGCCTATAATTTCCCATGAGAGTTTGAGTAAAATGTCTCAGTTGTTAAGAAAAAAAAAACTTTTAGAAGCTCGTTTCTAAAAAACAACCGTAAATAGTAAATAGACAACTATCTCAACCAGGCTGCCCTACTTCCCCAGGCTGTGGGTAACAGAGAGGGGAGGACAGTCCTAAAGAATTTCATTCAGGTTCTGATGCTGTTTCCTTCTTTGTGAGATGGACATAAAAGTCCCTTCCATGCCTGACTCAGGCTTGTTGTGAAGGCTTGGTGAGCCATGCTCCTCAAAGAGCTTCTTGGACTGTCAACATGCTCTCCCCTTGTGGGCTGTCCTCACCTGTATGATGGAAGGAGGTGAGGAGCTTCAGGGAACGTTTAGGTCTTTGCTGGATTTCCCAATCTGATTGAAGGCTAGTGGGGAATGGGGTCTTCTCCCAAGCTTCAGTGTTCAGTTGCTCCTGGAATCACTCATTCCACCCTGAAGGCCTGTATGTCCCAGAATCTCCCACCTAACACACCTTCCAGCCCACCAAGCTTCAAGCCCTCAGAGGCCTTTGCTCGCCTGTTTCCCCAACTGTCTCAATAACCAACTGGTCGTGAGTCTTTCAGACCTATGTTTTGATCCAGGTTCTCAAAGTTGCTATGCTCCCCACATGCCAACCAAGTTTGGTTAACATCAGATGAGGGCTGAGGTGGGGCAGGTGTCAGAAGAAGGAGGGGTTCTCTAAAGCAGGTGAGACTCCAGCCATGCTTGTGGCTCTTTCCACTACATGTTCCTTAGCTTCCTATGTAGGGTGGCAGCAGTCAACCTCAAAGAGGCTGTAGTGTCCACGGGGACCAGAGGTAGTGGGACATTCTTCACTCAAGAGGAGGATAATCTGCTTCAGGGAGAAAAGGATGTCTCCAAAGATTGTTATGGAGGGGCCAGGGGGTCCTGAGTTCGATCCCTAGTACAAAAACAAAGATGGTTATGGATCTTGAGCCAACAGGAAAACAAAGCCTAGATGGATTCCCAACTGAGCTGCCACTCTAATTCCAATACAATGCCTCTCCCAGGACCCTCTTCTGCTATGGTTTTCCATAGCAGGGCTCTTTTCTCTCACCACCAAGGCCCCAGTTCTCTCTTCTCTTCCTTTCTCTGTCTGTCCTTCTCTGCCGCCCTCTATGGATCTCTCAAAGTAATGTCTATGTCGGCCTCCTGATGTATTTTCAGACATTCCCACAGAAGTTGTGAGTCTTACTCTCACCATCATGGTGTATTTCAGAATCACCATGAGCCCAGCACATGGACTTTCTAACAGTTTGTACCATCCAGGGATGGAGGAGGTGGTGAGATACAAGTGGTACCTTCGTTTATGAACTTAACTTCTTTTATGATTTGGAGGGAGATGGCCATGGTCACGTTTGTCACCTGATGTGGAGTTTGCAAATGGAAGCAAAATTTTGCCAAATACTTTTGTTTGTGAACGGAACTGTTTGCAAATAGAAGTGTGTGTGAACTGAGGTATTGAATACTGAATTTGTCACAGGAGATGCGCAAGCAGCACCCTTTTAGAATGATGGACTTTGGGCCTTCTTTAGTTAGCCAGAAGAATGAGCAGCAGGATCTCAAAGCAGAATCTCTGAGATCTCAGAGCAGTGAAAGGAAGGAAAGGTATTGGGGACTGGGAGGAAAGTCAGGCAGCTGGCTAAAGACCAGGTACTATATGTAATCACTTACAACTATATCTGATACATAGTGAACATTAGCCGTGACTGTATTAAGAACAATTTACAGGTTCCAAATTGTGAAGGAGAGATCAATCAATCATGAAACAGATGGGAAATCAAGGAAGGTCTACAAGTCGAAGGGACTTTCCATGAAACCTTTGGGGATGGGCTGGGACTGGCACCCAGGCCTCCAGCCCTCAGGAGAGCCCTTGTGCAAAGCCAAGCTAGATCTTTTGCAGATAGAGGGGCAACATGGGGTGGGGGGCACTTTGCTGACACTTAAGGACCAAGCTGCTTTTCAACTCCTGTCTTGGAAGCTTTTGGATTGAGCCAGGAGTCTTATATTTGTCCTAGAAAGTAAGCTCAGTAGTGAGTCCTGTGTCCTGCCTCTCTCACTTTGAGCTCCTCCACAAACTTCTTTCTCTCCTGTAATTAGGCTGGGTTGTATTTCCATTCTGCCCCTTTACTCATTATTCCCAAAACTAGTTCCAGGGGGTAGAGTGACCTGAACTAGAACAAAAAAAAACTCCCCATCAGACCGAGTTCCTGGAAGACAAGGAGCAGCCCTCCCTTCTCCAAGGCTTCCTAGGCTGCATGGATTAGAAGTCTCAGAACCCTGGGAGAACCTTGGTGTCCCCACCCTGTGGAATTGGGCCAGGGCCAGACATGATCACACCAGCCAGCCCTCCACATGGCCCAGGATCTCAAGACAAAAGTCCTCCCAGCTCTATTCTGGCCGGGCTCCTTCCACAGTCTGCCAAAAGCCATGTGGCACCCAGACCACAGCTTCTCACCAGTGACTGCTTTAGTTCATCTCTTTTATTTTACCAAAAATAACAATAAAATCATTCCTCTGTTTCACAAAAAATAGACACCCCCACCACATCAGCCCTTGCCAGAGCCTAGAATCCATGGTGCAAGCCACAGCCTACCCTGGAGGAATCTCCTACTCCCCTTACTCTGGAGCTGCTGGTAAAGCTGCCTGGCCAGAATGCTTCCCTTGGGAAATTCTTTGGATCCAGCAGAGGCAGGCGTCCCAGGCCTAGCTGGCTGGCCTTGAGCTCCATCTCCCCAGAGGACAAGTTGTTTCTAGGCCATCAAAAGGAACATGATTTTGGAAGCTTGGCTCAGTAGCCAACCCCAGCCAACCCACAAGGGGTGGTGGGGTTCTTGGCATCTTGCTAGAAATCTTTGCTTAAAGCAGAGCAGTTGTATCCTGGAGAGAGGGTAGTTTTTCCCCTCATTTCCTGGCTTGTTTCCTCTGTTGCACATTGAGCGACTGAGACTGGATGATTCTCAGGTCCCTTCTGGTTCTTCATCCTAGTGTAGCCTCCTAGTGTAGGGCTCTGGGAGGGCAGACTCCTATTCCTGCCTTAGTTTCCACAGCTGTGGGTTGGGCACAGAGCTGGGCATGGAGGTAGGTAATGAGCAATGAGTTGCTGAATGAACATCCCAGTCTCTCTGTAAATAGCTGTGTAGAGATCCAACCAGCTGGAATGTCTGAGATGCTTAGGAAGGAGGCAAGTACTTTTAGGATAGGGCTTTCTACAGCTACATAATCCTCAGTGTCCTGGGACAGGAGACAAGACTCCACAGACTTCCCAAGTCAAGTCCCACCAGCTTTTTGGGCTGGAGGATTATTTTGGGCTGGGCTTCAGATCCTATGAGTCAGGCTTGCAGATCTGGGAGCTAGACTGGAGTACATGATTCCTGGTTTAAGAGCCAGGAGACCTTCATGGACAGAAAGGATCATCTTGGTGCCCAGAAGTCTCCCTGTTGCCAGGGCCTCCTAGAGACGGGAATGAGTGAAATGACAGCTCATTGGCATCCCTGGCTGAGCAAATCAGAATCAACAGCTGTGGCAGGCCAGGGTTTTAAGGAACTCAGGTAATGTCTCCTCTTTCCAGCTTCCACCCAGCTCCCCCAGGACTCATGCTGATGGAAGATGGTCACCTGTAGAACTACATCTACAACTGCATTTTATGTACTTACATAACTGGTCAGATACCCTGAGTAGGGACCCTGACCTATCATTATTCCTACAGTGGTCAGGTCAGATAGTCCCAATCTCTTTATACATCAACCACCCATCTATCCAACATCTGTGAAGATCTACTTATGTCCAAGGAAGGGTCTGGTTCTCAGAGGCACGCCCCACAGTCAAAACCACACTCACAAACACACTCACACTGGCATCTGTGCTCACTGCCACACAGGCACTCAGCCTCTTGCACCTTTCTTGCCATCACCTTGCCACATCCACACTTCCCAAATAGGCCTAGGAAGAACCTGGTAGCCCACCCCACACTCAGACTTCATGCCGGAGGTTGATTCCTCCTTTCCTTCTTTTTGCCACTTGAAGCTCTCCCCTTCTCCATTCATAGTCAGGGAGACACATAGGCAGACTTCTGAGAACCAAAAGTCCAGAGGCACTGGGATGTGGAGGAGTCCTGGGGCTTTCAGAGTCTTTTATCAGCAGAATCCTGAGAGTCTCCTCTGCTAGCCCTTGCTGTGTTCAGATGGTCCAACAACATCCAGGCCTGGACTCAGTGACAGATCCGCTCTGTCATCTCCCTCTATAGAGACACAAAGCATGGAGAAGTCAGTCTGAGCTCAGCTTTCTGGCAGCCCCTTCCCAAAGTGACCCCTCTCATATCAGCCACAACTCTAGAGTACAGATCTGGGGTTGTAAATTGACACTTGAATGAATTTTCTATTAAAGTACACAACCCACTGTTAAATGAGTTGCCTCTGCTAGTTTATCCATGGGGTCCTGGAGTTTTTTTAGAGCAGGCAGTCTTTGGGCCTGAAAACTCCCAGCAGCTAGCCTTGGCAGGGAGGAGCAGTTGGGTTTGGCCTCACCAGTGGCTCCAACTCCCGCTGGTCCACCAGGCTGAACTCTTGGATGAAGTAGTAGAAGTGCTTGTAGCAGGTGTTGACGTGTGCCTCTGCCCCCATGCTGAGGATGCTATCGAAGTGGTGGATGTAGACATGGACAAAGACTCGGAAGAGTCGGGTTAGGATCTTGGTGCAGACTTGTTGGAAGTTCTTGGGGAAGGGAACTCCTAGGGGCCGGAGAGGGGTAGAAGGTGCGATCAGCATCCTGTGATGAAACTCAACCCAGCTTTGCCCTCCTCTACACTGGCAGACTTCATCCAAGGTGGCCCTCTCCTGCTCTTCTAAACACATTTCCCTTACAGACAGGAGGAGAGGCAGAGGGGAAGCGAGGGGGGAGAAACGGAGAGAGGGAGAGAGGGAATGAATGTGTTTTGCTTTCTCCAATACTTTCCTTTTTAATGAAGCATGCATTTTACTGTGCCTTTCCCCTGCTGAAATACAAATCACCTTCTACCTTTCCCCTTACCTAAAGCTGGTCTCTGCACCCTTGGGCTCTGATCACCCTTCTTAGACCATGATGAAATTTATGGCTCAAGCTCTCCCCAGAAATACGTATACCCGCAGGGATCATACCCATGCATACAGTTCCAAGGGGGAATCCATCAACACGAATCTGTTTTTAAAAACCTGGGACTTCAGGCTTAAGTCCTAACTTCCCAGTATGGCATTAGGCAAGGCCTTTCAGGACCTGATCCTAACCTCCCTCTCTGGCCCCACTTTAGTCCTTCCTCTTTTCAACATTCACGCAGTGGGTCCAGGTCCCCAGTGCTGAAAATTACTAATTCTTGGAGAATTTACTCAGATATTCCCTCATTCCTTCAAATATTTAACAGCACAGAGAAACTTCCAACTGTGAGTTCAGCTGTTGTACCTGTGGCTTCGAATCCTTATAATTGTGCTGATGGGCCTAATAGCTATTGTAGATGTGATAAAATAGAGATAGTACATAAAGGGGAAACCACTTGCTCAAGGCCACATAATTATTAATCAGATGAGCCTGAAGTCAGGATTTGAACTGTCTTTTCATTATTCTACTTTTCACTACACAGCTGGTCCTGCCTCTTTTGGACTCAGTTTCCTCCTGTGTAAAATAAAGGGGCTCACTGTTAGGTAAGATAGCGCAGGATAGGCAGCCATGAGCTGGAGAGGAGCCAGGGGCATAGAATTGTGACTCAGTCCCCAGCTTCCCTCAGCACTCTGACGTCTTCTGTCTGGGCTTGACCAGCTGCCCCACCTTTCTGAGACCCAGAGGTATGACAGGGATGAGCATGAGGCGGATGGGAGCCAGGACTAAGGTACAGGTGGGGCTGTCATGAACACATCATCATGCCTGCTCAGCTCCTGGGTGGGGAAGCAGGGCTGGGATGACATCAATCATCTCCCCTCCCCCCCGTACCCACCAAGGCTGTGCAGCTGAGATAAGAAAACGTCCTGTGACCTGGGCCTGACAAGAGAAAACTGCCCTTAGCACCTCAGTCTGAGGTACAGATACTTTGTGGTCCCACTCAATCTCTATCCTCTTCCTTATATATATAGAAGCTGGAAGTCAGAGAAACTTAAGCAGGAAAACCTGTTAAGTATATCTTGGGGCAAGCCAGGTGTGGTGGCATAAGCCTGAGATCCCAGCACATGATCCTAGCCACTGGGAGGCTGAGGCAGGAGGACTGCCACAAGTTTGAGGTCAACTAGGGCTACATAGTGAGTTCAAGACCAGCTTGAACTACAGAGTAAGACCCTGCCTTAAAAAAAAAAAAAATCTATCTATCTATCTATCTATCTTGGGGCACTTGTTCTGGCAGGTTCTGAAAATCATAGAGTTTGCAGTCTTGCTGGAGTGGCCCCTAGTGGGACACTCATGCTTTGGACAAAAAGAGCCTCAAATGGGAGTTAGGTAGTCCTAATTAAATGTTTGACCTTGAGCAAGACAGTTAACCTGTCTCACTTTCCTTTTCTACAGTTACGCGGTGGGGGGGGGTGTGGCTCAGTGGTGTGGCAGCCTGCCTGACAAGTGCAAGGTCCTGAGTTTGATCCCTGGCACAAAAAAAAAAAAAAAAAAAAAAA